TATCGCAACGCACTGAAATCTAGGTACACCCCAGTTTGAGAGGATGCTGCCTTTGAGTATGGTGCAATGAAAAGTGTTACGGAAACCACGACTTCATTGAATTCAATGAATGATTGTATCTAGCGAGCCCAAATATCTATCGCTGAAATCATATTGAGCAAAAAATTACTGACTTGCGCACACTGATACTGGACAGTTGAAAGCGTCAAAGATTCGTCAGAACCTCGCACCATTAGTCTTCCATTATCTGACATCCACAATTCCGCAAGCAGGTTGGCATGGGCCCTGTAAGACGCAACATGCCTTAGGTATGAAAAAAGCGTGGTATGGTTTGACCTACGATGGAAGTCGAAGCGTTTGCGGTGAATCACCAGCAACAAAAGCATCGACATCTATACAAAAGGTGGCTAACTGAAAAATAAGAAATTTTCAGCAAAAAGACAATTTTTTTAGAGAGGAGTTCCCATACAGGTTCAGCTTTCCAACGTGATATAAGCTTCTGATCGACAAATTCCTCATCCATGTCAGGTGTCAAGTGAAGTCCAGCTATAACAATTGCCAAGTAAAGCTCAGCCATATACACGCGATTATTACCTATGAGCTTTTGGCTTGAAAAATTGGAACATAACTTGCGGAAATCTGCCCAAACGGCCCAACAATCGCGGGTGTCATTCGTAGAATGTTCGAGATTATCCATCGATGTGGGCACCATGACCCAAATGCTACAAATTGACATTTCCAGTAAAAAATAGAAGTGATACATAAAAAGTTTCAAGTCTCACTGACCAAAGATTCACATTTTTAGTCCATAGCCACTCGTTCAATATTCGTGCTAGACGTGGAGAGTCCGCATGCTTGAGGCGGATGACTGTGCTTCTCAATCCCATATACGCCAAGTAATTCAGCTCCTTCAGATATAACATTTTAGAAAAGCGTTGTAATTTCAGTTGAAAATGTCTCACTTTCAATAGCTCATTTTCAGAAAGACGAGCTAATTGCTCATCTTCAGAATCGCAATCAATCCAAGATGAGATTTGTCCATTGATATAAGTTTCCCACAAGTGATTTTGTAGCTGAACATCCGGTAGGTCAATGGGAGGAGGGTCATAGGAGTCGCTGCAAAATGGACGATCAAAAATCAAGATATCAATTTGAAACGCCAGCGCTCTTTGAGTAAGGTTCATAAAATGCTTAAA